AATCATTTTAGTAATACTTGTGTATTACTACTTATAATGGCTTAATAAGAAATACACTACTTATTATGGCTTAATAAGAAATGTAAATATTTCTTATTGTGCTAGTAAGATTTTTTGACACTCTGAAGAGTGAGTCCTTGCATAAGTATCAAAAGAGCTAACATACTGTCACTTTTCCTTTCCTTCTTCCATAGTCTGCTTTCCTCTTTGCCTTTGATTTATAATTGTTACCTTTTACATGTGGTGATGAAACACCCTTGTTTTATATGGAGGGGGAGACAAACATTTGTCCTCGTTCTTCCCTTTCCCCCACCACCCAAATGGGTTGTTTGTCTGGATTCACATCTGGATTTGTTTCCAGATAGCTGGGCAGTGGACCATTCAGAGTTGTCCCTTATTTTTAGATTTTCTCCAGGCAGCTCTGAAATTACAGTGTACCTTCGACTTACAGACAGCTCGACTTACAGACAGCTCGACTTACAGACTTCCCTGGCCACAAAATTTAGGTTCGACTTGCAGCCGGAGAATCGACCTACAGACCAGAAAAAAACCAAAATGGAGCGAAAATTGAACTAAATCGGCCAGTTACGGATTAATCAGTTCTCAATGCATTGTAGGTCAATGGAGCCTCGACCTACAGACTTTTCGACCTGCAGCCACTGTTCCAATACAGATTAATTTCGTAAATTGAGGGTCCACTGTAGGCATTTGGATTGTAGTTTACTGTGAATGAAATGAATTTTGGCTGCTGTGTTCTTGCTGGATGACTTGCAAAGGAAATCCTGCCCTGCAATGGTGTAATTGACCTCTTCGTTAACAGGAGAACTTCGTGGCTCGGTGCTAGGGCTCCTTTGCACATGGTATATTTTCCCGATTAATGGGGGAGAAAGAATTGTGTTTAAGATGTACTCGCTTTCATTGGTATGCAAATTAAGAGCAAAACAGGCACATGCAGGAAATGAGTAAATACTCAAGCATGTTTAGTGCCGTGGCAAAGATTTGTTTCCTGGTATGATTCTGTTACATTATTGGGCAATTACAGTGATTTGAGCCCTGTAATTGAGAAAGGAAACATGATTTAGCAAGGATTTCTGAGAACTGTTTTTCAAGAAGAGTGAAAGCTGTTGGAATTCTATTTAACCTTCTGTGTGCGAAGCGCTTGAAGTTCTTGGGTGTCGTCAAGCCGTGCTCTGGGCTTTGTGCTGACGTTGCCATGGGAAGGATTCTTGAATTGGACGCTAAGGTTTAAACTTGTGCTGAAGTCAAAATACCATGTTTTACTACAGTAAAGAGTGTAGCAACCCTTACAGCAATTAAACTGATTCTTTTGGGATTTCCCAGCTTGTTGGATCCTCTCTCCAGTTTGTCACGGTTCCACACTTGTAGTTTGCTCTACTCTGCTGTTGTCTTCAGAGATATCTGATAAATGAACTTGGCCTAAATCTCTTAAGAGTTATGACAGAGTTGACACCTAAATTAAAAAAAATGATAGAAGATTATTGCATTAGTATTGTCTCTTTCTGTTTGCTCCGAGAAATCTAAAAGTTTCATGTAGGCCATCTTGTGGGAGAAAGGTAGGGTGTAAATGTTATAACTAAATAAATAATAAATATTACTTCTTCCAGCATTTAAGCTGTAGCCTGGCCCATCTGGTATGGCTCTTGTTTCTTGCAGCCTTGAGCAATGCAGCACTATGATGGCTTCCATCTGTGTTCAATCCTTAATGGTGATGGCTGCAATCTACGAGTCCTAATTGGGCAGTAGCCTTTACTGGCCCAAAGGCAGAGACTCCTATATAGAGTTGGTATAACACTAGAGTTCTTTGCACTGAACCACGATGGCCTATATGGGTACACCATCAAGTGAGAAAAGGGAGTGACGATGGAGGGGGGGCACCAGCATTCGCGCTGCATTCTCTTTCAATCACACAAGATGTGCTGTGTTGTGGCAGCTGTGTGTCCTCTCCGTCAGTTTTAATGCCAGAAGAAATTGGAGAAACCATAAATATGGCACCAGTTTCCATTCTAATTGGGGTTGGCATAGCTGGAGAATGCAAGAAGGTGCCGAGCAACAAATGGAGCCATGGCTAGGCAAATGCGCTCTTAACTCTTGGAGTAATAGGAGAGTGGAACCTGTTACCTTGGGATGGAGCCAGCTACCTCAAGAGGTGGTGAGCGCTCCAACACTGGAGGCACTCAAGAAAAAAATAGGACCATCACTGGTCAGATCTGCTTTGATTTGGATTCCTGCCTTGAGGCAGGGGGTTGGACTGCTGGGCCCCTTCCAACTCAGTCTACCTACCTATATTTCCCTGCATTTTTGTAAATACAGTACCTCGTACACTGGGATGTTGCAGTTGTTGACCCTGAAAATCTGCCTGAAAATCTGCCTGAAAATCTGCCACTCAGAACCGGACCTTCTCGGTGGTTGCGCCTTCCCTTTGGAACTCACTCCCACCTGAGATACAATTAGCCCCTTCCCTCCGTGGTTTCAGGAGACAAGTTAAAACCTGGCTTTTCTCCCAAGCCATCTTGGCCTTACCCCAGAGTGATCTTGCTGATCAATGGGATTCCCCCATTCCTGTTTATGTACTTGCCCCGTTTTTGCTGCCTTTATTGTATTGAATGTTTTAATAGTCTATATTTGTTTTACTAGTTGTTTCATCTTTTGTTATTATGTTTCACGTTTACCAATTATGTGTGTGTTATTGGGGTTGTTTGTATTGTGTTATAATTTGTTTGCCACTCGGAGTAGTGGCTCTGCCATTAGTTGGGTGGGAGACATTTAATTTAATTCAATTTAAGAAGAACAAATGCAAGCATGCTTACCTACCTACCTACCTACCTACCTACCTACCTACCTACCTACCTACCTACCTACCTACCTACCTACCTACCTACCTACCTACCTACCTACCTACCTACCTACCTACCTACCTTGTTTTATTTTCTGATTTCCTTTACCATCAGGTAGAATTTTTTTTCAGCCTTTTAACTTTTTTTTTGACAAACTAAACAAATTTAGGCTTGAAAGGAGGAAAACAAGTGTGTACATAATTTATAGGCGATATAGACAAAGTTGCACCCTGATGAGCCAGTAGCAAGACTGCAATGGGATGAGCAGGGCTCATCTTTTGACTATCAGGATGTGCGTTTACGTATGTGCCAACAACCAGGAAGTAATTTGAAAAGGTGTGTTGCCCTCTCAGATGGCCAAAACAAAGTGTTCTTAGTTCTTTTTGAAACAAAAATAAAAATTGAGTCATGCAATGTTCTTCTAGTCTAGGTGATCCAGTGAATGGGAGAGAGGAAGACCCTTATCTGGAAAAAGGAGTGCTCTAATGTAGCACTCCTAAACTTAGTTTTCTGAGTATCACATTATTGTCAATCTATACAGTGGTGCCTCGCTTAACGGGCGCCCTGTTTAACTACGAATCCGCATAGTGATGTTTTTTTTGTGATAGCTTTTGCAATCGCATTGCAATGTTTTAAATAGGGAAAATCGCTTTGTGATGATCGGTACCCTGTTTCGCATACCGATCATCGCATAGCGATGATTTTCCAACAGCTGATCGGCGGTTCCAAAATGGCCGCTGGGTAAAAAAATGACCGCCCACTGTGTTTTTGCCCGGATTCCTCGCTTACCGGGCAGCGAAAATGGTGGCCGTATGGAGGATTTTCACTTAAAGGTGAGTTTGAAGCCCGTAGGAACACATGGAAGGGGTTTCAATGCATTCCTATGGGCTTTTTAAAACCGCATAGCGACGAAATCGCTTTGCAGCAATTTTTGCAGCACGGATTATCGTCACTATGCGGGGCACCACTGTATATTTACAAGCTAAAGAAGCTAGCAGGACACCTTTAAAATGAGAAGGCGCTCTAGTAGGTCAAATCGAATGCATCTCTAGTCCAGCATTCTGTCCTCATAGTGCCTGGCTAGATAGCTGTGGGGAGCTTGCAACAAGGACATATGTGGAGTGTGCTCTCCTACTCGTTGCTTTTGCAGCTGGTATGCAAAAGGTAATGCAGGGACATGACTGGTAACAGCTATTGATAGCTTTAAGCACTGTAAATTTGTCTGATTGTCTTTTACAGCCCTACAAGTTGGGGGCCATCCCTGCCCCCCCCGTAGGTTTCTCTTCTGACCACCTTCAGAGAAAAAGTGGTGTCTTTTTAAATTACTTCACTGTTTCAGAATCGCCTGCCACAACATTGTTGTGCTTTTTCTGGAAAGCATCTGTGTTGCCTAAAGGACCTGACCAGTTTTATGCTTCTCGTTCAAGCAGAAATACAGTTGCCCGCTTTAACTAGGAAAACATTGATTTTGGCTGTAACATACAGGTGACGCGCAAAGCTAGCAAATGTGGCACAACTAGATTTAGTTTGTGAAGTTCATTTTCTTCCCATATGCCTTTCATGTATAAAGTAATATGTGGCTTTTGTTAAACTAAGAAAGAACATAATTCCAGGACAAAAGATGAGATATTGGAGAAACTAAGGTCATTATAACTTTGTTAATCTATGTCATTAATGGGGAACCTGGTTTTAGTATTGGTATTATAGAGCCATGTGATATAGATTTTTATGTGTTAGAACCCAAAGCACTGGGTGGGAGATCACATGATCAGGGTGAATTCACAATTTAAACCAAAATATTGCATTTTTTTTACTATTTAAGTTAAAAAAAACTAAATAAAAAAATGAAATTGTGATTTAAATCAATTTGATTTTAAAAAAAATTTAAAAAATTACATTTTGATTTAAATCAATTTGATTTTTAAAAAGTAATTTGTTTTTTTTTAATCCCCCCTGCATGTGATCTAAGGATGGGTCCAATCCTTAATATTTGTGAAGCTCCAATTTTTCTGGCTGAAGAAATACTGCTTTGATATAGGAGAAGCACCAGTATTTCTTGTCTTTCACTTGAAAGGAACATGAACTCTGGTCTTCTTGCTGTACACCACAGAGTTGTTTTTTCTTCCTTTCTTTTCTGTTCTGTAGAGATGAACAATGACCATAGTTGACAAGACCTCTGAGTCCTCAAAGCCTTCGGCTTCTGAGAAGCAGCCTTTTAGCTCCGTAGCACCAGCTTCTGGAGATATGGACTCGGGCTCTGCTGGATGGGGTGCTGTGTCATCTTCCTTAGAAGCTCCGAAACACAAAAACTCATTGGGACCAGTTCCAGGAGCTGCTGTGTATTCAAATTCATCTGTACCTGATAAATCAAAACCCTCCGCCCAGAAAGATCCATGTAAGTGTTTGTTTGTTTATATCCTGCGTTATTAGTGCCAAAGCACTATTCTAGGTGGTTCTTATTAGTGCCAAAACACTATTCTAGGTGGTTTACGGACAGTTAAAATAGAACTACTACAACAAAACAAAGCATTAAACACTGAAATATCAAAAACGAAACAAAGCATTAAACACTGAAATATCAAACCTATAATAAAACAAAGTCTAAGAAGTGAAAAAACCCAATGGCGCAATCAATTTTCCACCTGAAGTAGATACAGGAGGCAGGAGGTTCAACCAGGGTCAGCATGACAGTATTACTTGTTTTTTAGAAAAAGGAAACATACTCATATTTCTTATGGTTCTCAATATGGAACTGAGAAGTCCTCATTAGTAAAGGGTTGTGCAATGCCTGAAATGATCAATCCTATACTTACCTGCTCAGAGCACCCCTGAATTCTACATGGCTTGCTTTCAAGTGCATTTGTAGAGGGCTACTGCCTAAATGACTTTTGTGGCCAGTGTTCATTATAGGAATGGACAGCTCAGGCCCAAATTGTGCCATATTACATTCCATATAAAGTTTTTTTTCTATCATGTTTTAGCCAGCACATATAGATTTTTTAAAACCGAAATAATTATTCAGGTCACCTTTACCTGATAAAACAGCAGTAATGTTATGTATGGTGCAAGAGTCTAAATCCAGGCCATTAACTTTACATGCTTTGCATATTTTAGTAAGTGGACTGGTACTGTTTTGTTTGGAGTATATATAATTTTAATGTGTTTTAATATATGTTATGCTTGTTCATTTGGCTTGTGGACTTGAGTTGACTCCCAGTTTATTCAGAAGACAAAACAAATGGGCATGGTTCTTGTGTTTGATTAATTACATTATGTCTCAGTGTCTCTAAAACACGTATTTTTTTTAAGCTACTGGTGATGGCATCGCAGCACCCCAGAAGGTCCTTTTTCCAGCAGAAAAGATAAGCTTAAAATGGCAAAAAATGCACAGAGTTGGAGCTGGTCTCCAAAACCTCGGCAACACGTGCTTCCTGAACTCTGCTCTGCAGTGTCTGACTTACACCCCTCCTCTCGCCAACTATATGCTTTCCCACGAACACTCCAAAACTTGTGAGTATGTTTTGACACCTGTCCCAGCTATTTGGAAAACATGAAACGGAAGTCTCGTATCTTCCACTTCCTCCTTCTTGTAATGCGAGCTAGGAATGCTGGGAGTTGTAGTCTAGTCTGCATTGAAAGTGCCAACTTAGGGGATACTGGCAAAGAAAAGTATTCAAAAATGTGCTCTATGATTTTGAAACCAACAACAAAACAACAACAAGGCCTATAACTGTGCAGTGTGCCCTCAAACTCCACCATGTTTCCAGCACAGCAGCGTAAAACCTGCCACCCATGTTATTTGACTGTGATTTCCCCCCTTTCCTTGCCAGTAGAGGTTAGCAAGGTCATTCTCCTACACATGTGATGAAAATCTGTCCTTGCTTGTATACATGTAGTCTCTCCGCTTGTGCAATATGGAAATGAGTATGCAGTGTACGAACATGCCATATTTTCCCTGCTAAGAAGGAACAGAGTTATAACTACTGCCTGTTTAACTTTGAAGCTACAATGAAAAGAGGGACAGACATTTAATTTACCTCTTGGCCACTCGTTGGGATGGGAATTATTCCTTTATCTGAAAGTGCAGGGAAATGTCAAATAGTTCAGGCACGTTGGCACTGCAGAACTGTGAAACATCTTAGCCGTGGAAACGCAATTTTCTTTTTTTAAAATAGTGTGCTATATATTGCACAATTCAGGTTCTAATTCTTTTTTTAAAAAACCTCTTAGTCATTAAAACTGGTAAAAATATGATTGAGTATTGTAACTGGAGCAATTTCAAAAATAATTGTATTGAAATCTTTCTTTTCTGAAACATATGTGAGCAGTGCCGTAAAACCCAACAATATGGAGAGCTCGCCACAATTTTAAATAACTGGAATATATAAAAGATTATACCCTGAAGAATAGGCTCCCTTACTTACAAATGGTCCAGCTGAAACCTTTTCGGAGGGCTTATAAATCAGCAATTATAAATACAGCATGTATTGTATAGATAATGTATAGTGCATGAAAAGAAGAAGGTGAGAACACGTCCAGTACTGGTTTTTGCTAAATAATATGGAGGATGTATAGATAGCCCTGTACGCTAAAGGTGCAGTGAGTTTTAGAGGTAAAGATGACCAGAAGGATGGCTGTTACTTGTTCTGCAAATTGCATATAATGTAATCCCTTTTGAAATGATATCTTCTCACTCTGAAAGTATATACAGTATTTGTCCCTTGTAGTTGATACAATATGATACAGTGGTGCCTCGCAAGACGAGCACTCCATTTTACGACGAAATAGCATAACGACAAAGTTTTGCGATCGCAAAACGATGTTTCCTGTGGGGGAATTTCACTTTGCGATGATGGGTTCCCTGCTTCGGGAACCGATTCTTGCAAAATGACGCTTTTTGGCGGTTTCAAAATGGCCACTGGGTAAAAAAAATGGCCACCTGCTGTTTTCTGGGACGGATTCCTCACTGCACAGGCAGTGAAAATGGCCGCGCTATGGAGGATCTTCGCTGGACGGTGAGTTTCAAGCCCATAGGAACACATTAATCAGGTTTTAATGCGTTTCTATGCAGTTTTTAATTTCGCTTTATGATGTTTTCGTTCTACAGCGATTTCGTTGGAACGAATTAACATCGTAATGCGAGGCACCACTGTATTTGAAATTGGGGGTTGGGGGAAGGATGGTAGGTTTTTTTGTTTGTTTGTTTGTTTTTTGCTAAATGTGCCTTTTATAATTTAGAATTCACTTTTTTTCGTGGAATCTTTCTTTTCTTTTTCTCAGGTCATGAGCAAGGATTTTGCATGATGTGCACCATGCAAGTCCACATCACGCAGGCCCTTTCAAACTCCGGCAGTGTCATCAAGCCAATGCCTGTCATAAACGATCTTAGACGTAAGCCTGTTATTAATTTTGACATGTAGTATATTCTTTTTGATCTGCATAAGGCCCGCATAACGCATCAGCCACTAAGCCAGTTGCAGCCTAACAGATGTCTATTGTGGCCTTCCATATTTTTTGCAACCACAGAGAAACTGGAAGCTGACTTTACACTGAACCAGACCATTGATCTATCCAGTGCTGTCAACTCTGACTAGCTGCAGCTTTTGAGAATATCTGCAACAATTCTTGCCTAGTCCTGTCTGGAAATGCACCTGGTATTTGCTGGTGGTTTTCCATCTGAGGACTAACTAAACTCAGTCTGCCCGTATTGCAAAAACAGGCATGATTGGGTATCTTTAGATTAGCATGTCATTTATTGCCCGCCAGGCAGACAATAAAAACGGGAAGCAAGTTTTCATCCTAACCATAGTCAAGGATACATAGCTAGTGGTCTGAGTTCAGCTCAGTAAAATATGAGTTAATACAGGCCTGGTTTGCATTTTCATATGATTTTGTGGTTTAATATGAAACACACAATGTAACCCCCTTTTTTTTGTTTCTCAGGAATAGCAAAACATTTCCGTTTTGGCAATCAGGAAGATGCACATGAATTTCTACGGTACACTGTTGATGCTATGCAGAAAGCATGTCTGAATGGTAGTAACAAGTAAGTTACAAGCGAAGTATGGTAATACTCCTACTACTGCCCTGTTCATTTCCCTGTATCTTATCTGAAGGGTGTTTTCACTGTTAATTTTACTACCTACTTCTGCTATTAATTTTCAGATTAGACAGGCACACCCAAGCCACCACTTTCATTCATCAAATATTTGGAGGATACCTCAGATCTAGAGGTAGGTTAAATGTTGATTTCTTTGCCCATTTTGGCACATTCGTTAAAGTGCTGTAACTTCGACTCTTTCCTATTTTGCTGAACATATATCTGTATATTAAATTTCAGTAAAATGCATGAACTGCAAAGGAGTATCAGACACTTTTGATCCGTATCTGGATATTACGCTAGAGATCAAGGTATGTTGATATTTGGAAAATAATATTTTAAACCTCCCACAAGGTGTTTGAGTTTCAGGTGGAAAACCGTTGAGTCTTAACTTTTCATGGTGACCAGGATTACCATAAATGTGGTTTTAATGAGAAATGGGGGTATTCGTATCTTGAAGGTTGCCATCATATCTTGAGTGGCAGTGGATTCTGTAAATTTAATTACACTTTGTGTTCTAAAGTATTTTCAACTCGTGCAAAAACGTGCTGTCTCTCTTTAAAATGAGGAAGAATGGGGGCAACCTCTGGTCTTCCAGCTTTTGGACTGCTGCTCCTATCAGTCCTCACCATTGATGATACTGGCTAGAGCTGATGGGAATTGTAGTCCAGCGACACCTCTAGGGCTGTAGGTGGCTCATCCTGACTTAAGACGGTAAACATAGTTTTACAAGACTTGTGGTTGGTGGGGGTTGAAGAATGAGATGTATGCTTTTTATGATTCATGATTTATTTATTCAAAGAATTTAAGAGCTTCCCTGAAAAATGTGCACTGGAGATTCAGCCACAAAATAAAGCTAATGAAGAATATTAGGTCCCCCCCCATTTTTCTTATGCACCTGATTTAATTTTTCTTTTCTCACTTTCTTTTCAGTCGGCTCAAAGTGTTAATAAAGCACTGGAGCAGTTTGTCAAGCCGGAACAGCTTGATGGTGAAAACGCCTATAAATGTAGCAAGTAAGAGGGAAAATTAACCTTCCTATCTATTAAAAGACTGAATAGTTGCATAGCTATTTGAAACTGACACAATTTATTTAAGACCAGCTAAGCTCAATACTAATTTAAGTTTTACTTTCTGTTGCTTGAACTTGGAAAACAAACATGTTAACTGCAAAGAAAAAATAGCTTTGGAAACTGAACAGAGTTTCTCATCTTCTGTTTTAGGTGCAAAAAAATGGTTCCTGCATCAAAGCGGTTTACAATACATCGGGCTTCAAATGTTCTCACCTTGTCTCTGAAACGATTTGCCAATTTCAGTGGTGGCAAAATTACAAAGGTAATAGTGTACTCTAGATTCAATTTTTTAAAACCCAAATACGAATATTGGAGCATTATCAAATGTGCCAGTGAATCTGGAACCAAACTTGATTAAGGGCAGCACAATATGGTTATAAACAAACCTCTCTAGTAACAATGTCATCCTGGGGCAAGAAATTATTGATTTTTAACACAGATACATTTATCTCCTTTTGTTCATGTGCTTTAGAAGCAAGAGTTTAATTCATTATTTTATTCACTGCTTGTATATTTCCCATCAGCTAATGTTTCCTGGTGGTCAAGTGTTGAACGTCCGGAAAAGTCATTATTTTTTTCAGAACATATTTGAGTGCGGTTTATATAATACACCTTTCTCACATACATGTGGTTGATTTTTTGCTTTTAACTGGTGCGGTAAGGGGATTCCTTCTTCTCCTAAAATGTTTCAGAAAAATGCAGGCTGTTTCCTTTTTGTTTGTTTGTTTGTTTAGGAGGTAAAATACCCTGAGTTCTTGGATATTCGGCCATATATGTCCCAGCCAAATGGAGAGTCCATTATTTATGCGTTGTATGCAGTTCTGGTCCATACAGGATTCAGTTGTCATGCGGGTCATTACTACTGCTATATCAAGGTACATTCTTTTCTATCCCTCCTCCCTCGCTTGTTTAGCACATTCCGCATGCTGCCTTTCTGTTGAAATGCTAAAAGTAACTTACATTTTATAAGAACAAGTCACCATCTCCTGTCTGATATAGAAGAAGGAACAGGGATTGGTAGAGGGAAGATACACATATTCAAGCACCAAAGTAAAAACGGCTCCCCAAGTTATGAAAGGACTCCACTGGAAGTGTCACGGCAGAGGTGAATTGTGTAGAGCAGCCGTCCCCAACCTTTTTAGCGCCCCCATGGACTGGCTGGGGAAGGCGGGGCACCCCCCTGCGCTCAGGATCACAGTTCACTACAAAAAAAAGAGAGAAAATATCTGTGGAACACCCTACATTTCTAACCGCTCTGGAGCAATAGCAGGTTGGACTTATTTGGGGCCTTGAGTTGTAATCGGTTATGAAAGTTTGTTGATTAGCCTTACTGAATTCATGAGCCTCCTTGCTCTCCTCCCAAGACATCTCTCACGAGCTTGTGGCTGGAATAACGTTTCCCCCAACGCTTTGACAGAATGGTGGAGTACAAAGCCAGTGTGTGAACAAACAGCCTAGCAAAGCAATATCCTTTAAGAGGAGGCAGAACAACACAACTGACACCTGTACCTGTGCAAGTCACCTAGTAAGGTCTTCTGTCTGAGATTCAGCTCTTCGGGTTCTTTACATCAACTAATGTCTCTTCTTCCAGAGAACATCCTCCTTGTTCTCCTTATGCTATTGCTTTGCCAGGCAGCTTCAGCTGCAGGTAGATAGTTGTATGTGAAGCAATTCCTGCATTGAGCAGGGTTTTGGAATCAAGGGCCCCTTCCAACTCAACGATTCTAAGACGTTGTTTGCATCTTCCCTAGAAGGTCAGTGCGCCAGTACAGAAACAGTGAAGTGGTGCTTAGAATGATGCCATTATCCTTTCTATAAGCAATATTGTTACACAAAGCCAGGCTGTTTTTCCAATACGGTGATTTTTAAATTATGATACGAGGGAAACCAAGGTGTTTTTTTGGAAACGTTTTAGGGATTCCTTCATAGGAGGCTCAGCAAACGGATGATAGATAGAACAAGCTTCATTGGAGCATGGCCAGCTGCCACAAATCATCTTTGATCTCCATCCCCCAAAGTGGTCTCCAGTGCCTGCTAGGGTATTCTTCTCAGGTCATGTTGTTGTTTAGTCATTAAGTCGTGTCCGACTCTTCGTGACCCCATGGACCAGAGCGTGCCAGGCCTTCCTGTTTTCCACTACCTCCAGAGTTTGGTCAAATTCATGTTGGTCGCTTCGGTGACCCTGGCCAACCATCTTGTCCTCTGTCGTCCCTTTCTCCTCTCGCCTTCACACTTTCCCAACATTAGGGTCTTTTCCAGGGAGTCTTCTCTTCTCATGAGATGGCCAAAGGATTGGAGCCTCAGCTTCAGGGTCATGTGAGGCATCCTTTTAACCTGGTTGGTCAGCAGCTCCAACTTTAGTTTTGGAAACATTTCCCAGAATCCTGCACAAGGCTGTGCCTTAGGAAAAAGAAGTCCCTGTAGAAGAATTCCCTGACAGCAGTCAGAATGTCGCTGAGATGCTAGGGGATTGTGATTTCCCTGAAACCTTCCCATATATCCACTGCCCTCCTGTGTCAGTCCGTGTTGGTCACAGATTTCAGGCGGAACTTACATCAAAGATCAGAGGAGCATCAACTAGATATAAAAACCCTTCCTTTCATTTTTAAGCCTCTAAATAAAACAGGCTGTGATTTAAAAACAGATTTTTTTTTCCTATCGTAAACTTTTTTTCCTAGGCAGAATAAATATGTTGAAGCTATTTGTTTTCCCAAAGTTCAATTTCTTCTTCTGCAATATACCAGGTTTTTTTTGTCTGATAAAATGCTGTGAGGGTAGCAAAATGAATGCGAGAAATTTATTTGGACTGCCAAAAAACTTACACTTAGTGTCGAAGCTGCAAGAGACTCTTGGGGAAAATAGCGGATGGTTTATTCCAGACCTGAACATCTTACGAGGCACGCAGAAGGGGATTTATATATTTATTTTTGGTTACTAAAATACCCTGCCAATGTCAAGTCCCAAGATACATTTATTATGAAAACAGAGGCCAAAGTGGCATCTGAAGAATTTTTTAAAAGTTATTTATCTGTGTGCTGAACAAACCTGAGTGGTTTAATACCGCAAAGTTGTCATGACTTTACCTTTGCATTTTGTCCTACTTAAAGTTTAATCCATCCTTTCTCTCTCTCCCCCCCTGTCCTTTTCTAAACTCTTTTCTAAATCTTGATGGTTGTATTATTATTTTTCTCATTTGAGTTTTTCTTCCTTTCTTTTTCTTGTTTTTGAAGACTTCGTTTTGGGTCTTTTTTTCACATTTTAACTATTTCTGAACAATTGCTCATGTTTTAAAGGTAGCTGTTGTAATTTAGCTGGCTGGATAGCTCAGTGGTTTAAGTATTTGGCTGTGGAGTTTGATTCCTCCACTGTATGGGTCCTTGGGCAGGTTGCGTACCCCCAGAAGAGGGGAATGGTCTACCACTGCTGAGCACTCTCTACCAGGAAAATCTGAAAAGGGTCATCATACGTCAGGATTGACTTGACAGCACATGATTGTTTTTATTTTTATATTCTGCTTTTTAAGTCTAAGTCAGCAAATCACTTAACTATGTAAAAGAGGATACCTAGAAAATGTACTGACATATACAAAATTCAGTAAGATGAGGAGGTTAAAGCAGCCAGGCTTAACTTTGGACCATGGAAACAATCTGCTTATTCTGTACTCATTCTCCTTGCGTTGTCTTCGCTTTCTGTGCAACAGAGCTCGTCCTGCATTTAGACAGAATAAAGTATTCACTGGAAGTTGCACATAATGGGAGGTATTAAAGGGAAGAGCTATGTGCCAAGCCTGCCTTCCAACAGCTATTTGGCTGCCCTCAGGTGTGGTGAAGGATGCTATCTTATCGGCACTGTCGAAGAAAGATTCGGCTTCCAGGCCAGTAGGTTTTTGTACTTGTAGGTGAGGTTGCACCACGTTCTTCATCCTAAGCAGCAAAATTCCTCCAGACAGCCCCCCCCCCCCATTTTCATTTGGTCTTTTACATCCAGCCTTCTTCCTTTACGGCCAGAGAATCCCTAGCTGTTTGATGACCCTCTGTTTTTACAGGCATTCCTTAAGGTTATAGAGAAGAGTACGTTTGAGTGGTGTCAAGAGTATTGTTCCAGGACAGTAGTTCCCAGACGCACCCAGGTAGGTGTCTTTGGACTGCAACTCCCAGAAACCTCGGCCAGCACAGCTGGTGGTAAAGGATTCTGGGGATTTCAGTCCAGGAACACCTGAATGGGAGGCACCGTTATAGGATGTCAAGCTTCATAGATGTAAAGAAAGACTTTGAGGAACGTATGGCTAGCAATATAAAGGCAGTAGATGCAAAGAAAGACTTTGAGGAACGTATGGCCAGCAATATAAAGGGGGATAATAAAAGCTTCTTTAAATATGTGAGAAGCAGGAAACCTGCTAGAGAAGTGGCTGGCCCTCTGGATGGCGAGAGAAGGAAAGGGGAGGTAAAGGAAGATTTGGAGTTTGCAGAGAAATTTAAAGGAGTTCTTCGCATTTGTCTTCATGACAGAAAACCTTGGGCAGATTCCGCTGCCCGAACAGCCCCTCTTGACTAATGAATTAAATCAGATACAGGTTAAAAGGCAGGATGTTTTAGACCTAATTAATAAATTGAAGATCAATAAGTCACCGGGCCCAGATGGCATCCACACAAGAGTTATTAAGGACCTGAGGAATGAAGTTGCTGATCTCTTAAATATACAACTTGTCCCTTAAAACGGACACAGTGCCAGAGGACTGTAGGATAGCACGTGTCACGCCCATCTTTAAAAAGGGAAGGGGGGGGAACCCGGGAAACTACAGGCCGGTTAGCCTAATGTCTGTTCCAGGGAAGATGGTGGGAAAGTCTCATCCAAGATAAAATCTTAAAACGCATAGAAGAACAAGCCTTGCTGAGGAAAATCAGCATGGCTTCTGTAAGGGTAAGTCTTGCCTCACAAATCTTTTTGAATTCTTTGAAAAGGTCAACAGGCATGTGGATG